GTTGTGTTATCGTTTAATACGACTGAAGCCGTCTTCGCTCTGTCAGCTCTGCCTAACCCTAAAATCGGGAAGACGTCATTTTGATAAAAATACTATCACGTCTACCTACCATCGATGCCAGAAAACCGCCTGGTGAATGGAACTGATTTTGACGCTCGACGGCCGAGAATGCGTGACCCTTATCTGAGTAGGCGTTGTCGCACGGAGACAACCCCAAAGGGCTGGGTCAGAAAGCGTGGAGCGTCATCGCTTCTCGGCCGCTCGAGAATTGTTGGTATCATTTCTGGCGCTACCTTTCCCTTACCTTCAGCACTCGTTCTTCGACGGCTATATTATCGAACTAAAGATCTCCGTCGCCACTCGGAGAACTTCAGGCATTCCCTGGCAGCCGGAACATGAGGAGAATGTCTCAAACGAGTGCTTATTCCCGGTCCACGAACATGCGTGGCCTGCTCGATTGCGGGGGGTAACGCGAAGGGCTATCTTACTCTCCCGCTATCCGTCCCGGACTCTAAAAGTGCGTCGGGTTCAGGCTTGAGCCCCATAGCTCTACGATACCCTGGGGACCAAGACATCGAATCGAAATACTGTAGTCGAGGACTTCTTGTGAAAAGGCTCGCCGTTCGCTTATTCCGATTTATTTTCACCGTCTTGCTGACCTCAGCTGGCGATGAGTCTGGGCTCCAGGAACATGCCGACACAGGTTTCCAGTGATCGAACGATCCAAGCATTATTGCGCTTTCCCTTCCGACAGACGCCTCGAATCACGAGGAGCTCTAGGATACATCGAGTGTATCTTTGAAACCCTAGACTGGACGATTCGGCGGTAATGGGAACGGGAGTAAAATTGCGCTGATCTTCAAGATAGTCATCGAAGATTCGAGGATCGTGTATTCAGTCATTACATCCTTCTCAGTCGAGTTGTTTTACTGACACCTCTCTGCTCGTGAGCCTGAGGAGCTGGAAGCTTGGCCTGGGCAGAATGGGAGTTGAGGGTCGATTGATCACGGTTTTTCCGAACGCATCCCATCAGACGAAAATCCTATCCTGCGAGGTGATTCTACCGGTCTCCATACTAGCAGCCCACGTTTTAACCATCACTCATGGGATTGGCGGATCCCTGACCGCGTGGTCGATGATGAATCGTGAGAAATTCGGAGAATATCGCAGGTGGCGCTGTTGGTAGTTTTACAGCAGCGAAGCGCCAAGAAACAAAAGAATCATATCTCACATCAAGGCCGGGTATTCCTGCGCACATCGTGTCCCCCTGAATGCATGGGACGGCAATGGCGAATAACGCTGGTCTACGTCTTCGGGGATCGTTGCAGATTTAAGGCATGACACCTGAAGCAATACATTTCCGTATGGTACAATTTTTATGACCAACTCCGCAGTTTAGCGCTGAATCGGTATGGTATTCAATATCATAACCATTCTCAAGGTTGGTAGCGCCGCTAGACAGGGTGTATAACTCTCGTCGACTACGGAATCGCCTCATATCGTCGCGACCTGGCGGAGGACCATGCTCAGTCGACAGTATACGAATCTCATGTTTAGACGTTCTTTCCTGCAGTGATTGTCGGATACGCACACAAATGCATGTGGCAGGCAGTTGCAAAGAGAGACAATCGGACGACGAGCCTGGAATGTCCGCTTAGAGTTTTGACATGCGATTGGTGTCGCTCGGTAGAGTGGTGCTGATTGCGACAGAGATCCGAGCTCTAATCATGTGCTACGTGGGTTAAGCTATCCTTGAGGCTTGTTCACGGAGAGTCACGGTCGGTCGAGTCCGCGTTCTCTACAATTCTCTTTACGGGGATTCCGTAGCCATTCCTCCCGGGGATTCGGTTCGGCAGTGCGGCACGCATTATGCCGGCTCATTCGAGGTCCCGGGCCATCCGATGTCTTTCGGAATCCGCATCAGAGTTGGCTACAAGTAGAACTCAGAGTAGCTCTCCCGCTGACTCTCACGGGACGACATTTGCGAGAATGCGGACGTCTCGACGCTCCAGGAGTCGCACGATCAGTTGTCTCGATCACCTCGAATTCGGATTCAATTTCTGGGCCCGCATCCGGGGAATGCGTTTTTCTCCTGTATGCATCAGATGTGGGGTTCTGAGTTTGAGGGCGAGTCGAACTCTCTCGAAGCTGCATACACAGTCGGACCCGCCTATGAGAGACTGCTCGGGATGAGCGAAAAAGTCTGCGGTATGCGAGTTTCCCTCAAACGCGGATGGATACAATCGCGGTTCAAATGATCGAGGATGACGATTCCCTTACACGTACCGTATACGTTCACCTGAAACGCCTCATGGGTAGAGTTCCTGAGTTCCGGACGTTTCATACCTATCCAATCCGCAAGGGCGAAGACCGACGACCACATGGACGAGGGAATCGCCCCTGATGATGTTTCCCGCTCGCCGGGCGATGTGGGAAACGCCAGGATGAAAATACCGCAATCCGATATACATAAGCTAATTGGAGAGTCGAGGAATGGAAATGTCGGAAAAGGAACTCTACTCATGACCTCCGACCAGTCTCTTATCAGCCAATCCTCCTACGTAGGATCCTATGAGAAGGGGATCCGCGTCGAGTCTCAGATTGACGAGTTTCTCTAATGGGCCGATTTTGGAGTCCCCTACATGCGATTTTTTTTCGTTGGAGTCTATGGGCTTGAGAAACGGGAAATGGGATCAGTCTCTAATTAGCGAAAGTCTCTCATATGCATATCTCCTACATGTGGGTCCGACTGTACAATGACTTCTTCATGTATCCGAGATTTCTCTCAAGCTCAACCGATTTTCTCCGGTTCTACAGTTTCTGTCGCCCTGAGCCCTCGTGCGATCTCGTGCAAACGTGCATAGCCGCAACGACGCCGCTCGCGCGGGAGGCGGTGTGGGTTCGATCCCTGCTGCCGGAAAAATATGCAGGTACTCGGCCTTGATCCTCCTGGGTACATTTGCTCTATGGATCCGTCCTCGGAAGCAATGTGAATAACAGTACCCGGGACGTTAAACCTTGGCTGTGTGGATCAGCCCGAAAAAGTTTGTCGCCCTGAGCCCTGCGATATCCTGAGGACTATGTACCCGCTGAGAATTCCGAACGAATTAGCGTGATTAGCTCTGGAGGGGAGTATATAACTTGTAATTTAGCCGGACCAGCAATTTTCGGAATTGTATCGCTGATTCTCTCAATATTTGGCAGCACCAGCCCTAGGTTCCGTGTTCAAGGAGATGATCTCGGACGAGCTCCCTGCTGTCGCTATCCGATTTGCGTCTCTGGAATTCCCAGAAGGTCCTCGGTCCCGGCGCAGGTGATTCATTTGAGCATCTTTTCACAAAACTCCCATCTTCAAGAACAGCCCGGCGCAGACAGTGTAGCTCGCGACATTCGGACATGAACCCTTCTCTGATCGGGGGAGAAGGCTTTATGGTGCTCCACGGAATACCTAGGTCCGTCTTGGAGGCCTAAATGTGCACGCAGGGGACTCTCTTCATAGCAAACTCGAATCCATGCCTGAGCTTCCCACGACGAGAGGGGGAGGGGGACCGGCGGAGAGGCGTGGCTGACCTCTCTGGAATCTAAGACCTAATATAGTCACGAGCTCGATCCCGGAATTCCCTGGTTTGCAAAACGCGGGAAACCGAGGGGGCTTCAGATCGAGGTGTCGACCAAGTGAATTGAAAATGCCGCCCCGGGCTTCATGCGTGGTACCACGTGACGGCGCCAGCTACCAAACCTTACTTCGCAGGCCCTGGAGAAACTTCGATACCTTGTCTTGCAGCTTGCAAGAGATGATGAGACAGAAACCGTCAACCTTCTGCGGAGCCTATCTTCCACAGAGCAGCTCCGAATCTCATTCAGATTCATCTCCGCAAACGAGGTCGTGCTGACTCGGAGCACCAACTGCTTCCCCGTGTGTTAACCGGACCAAGGGGTTCTGCTGAATGTTCCCACCGTATGGTCGTGGATTCATGTATCTGTGTGATAGTCGAGACAATGTGTCTAGGCCTTCGCCACCGAAAGTTGCGCTGTGATTATGATGTCGTTCTGAACGTTGGTCTCGCAATCATTCGGAGAGCCTCTCGTTGAGCCCCTGTAGCTTCGTGTCCTGCGGTATCGGTCGTCTGCAGAAATTCAGATGAACCTCTCCGACTACGATATGTTCTTACGCTTTCCAACTTCAGTGGACGACGGCCGTCGGACCTCTTCGAGCCTCGTGGGGCGGGATGCTCGATCACGTGTCCGAGCATAATTTCACAGAACATGCCTGCATATTTTCATGACGAAAAATCGATCCCGGTGACCATCCTCCATTGTTCAGAACGGATCGTTGTCTCCCACGTGGGACCCTATGGGGTATCGTGATCCGATTCACGTACTTCTCGATGCACGACACGTCACGGAGCGAATTAGGTTCGTGAATCGGGGCTCGACTAAATATCAATGCTGGCTCGCCCATTCCCAAAGTCCAGCCTCAGTCACGAAGTTCACCAACCATGGCGGCCTAGGCCGTCGCTTCCCCTCCAACGGAAGGAAATTCCTCGAGGTCAGCTCCCCCATTGAGTCCTGCGGCCTCCTGCGGGTCCAGACGACGAGGCTAGACCGAGTTCTCTTCTGAATTCGTTCACCTCCAACCTAGGACGACGATATTCGAGAGACCGGATGATCTCCTACTCGCAGCTTCGAACCCCGGCGGGGAATCCCCAGTCGCCGAAGTCCGCGCCCCGCCGAAGAATTCGTTTTCGGGGGACAGGACGAGGCCGCCTTGCTTCTTGCAGGCCGCAAGGTAGAGATCACCGTCATCATTCCGCTCCCTCTCCCTTACACTGATTCGGTGTTTTACATAAACGTCTCTACTCCGAGGTGATTGAGTTTTGCACTGCCCTAGCGTCATGAGCATACAATCATGCGAAACTGTGAGCTCATTCTGAGCCTTTCGTAGAGGATCCTGAGCCCAGTGTTCGTTTCGGAATAACAAAAAGCAAGATGGCGGCGCGCGGCAGCACACGGTTGTTGTTGTCGTAGTCCTGATGGACCATCAGTGATGGTGGTGGTTGGTTGCTTGATGGTAATACGGTCGTCGTCGTTGCTCCCTGCGGCTGCTACTGCCGCTGCTGCTACTACTGTTACTACTGCTCGAGTTGGGATCTGCTGCTGGTAATTCCCATTCTGAAGCGGCGGCGGCGACGACGACGACGGCAACGACTTCTTCGAGACACGATTACGATCGACGAGTGAATGATTGACTATTAAACCTACGGATCCACCGTAGGGGGGTACTGTCGTCGAAGACACCAGCCGGATACAGCGGTGCAATGTGCAGTTGTAGACTTACGTTCGAGTGACAGAAACTTTGAGCCCGACGACGAGCAACATCGACCGACGGGCGGACGGACGGTAGGACGAGAGAATGGACGAGGCCGCTCTAGAAAAAAAGCTGCGAGCAGTGAACAATACGCAGGAGTGTATTGAGACACTTTCGCTATGGGTTCTCCACCACAAGCATCACAGCGACCAGATCGCCTCAGTGTGGCTCCGGTGTCTTCGTAAATGTGAGTGTGATTATTGCGGCTCAATCGTTAGTTTGCGCTTTTTTCGTTCGTTCGACTATCTATCGATGGATGGACGGGCGGGCGGGCGATCAGCTAGTCGCTCGTTCCGACGCTCGGTCGGTCGGTCGCTCCGTCCGGCTGCCTTTTCCGTCGAGACCCTCCTTGAGCAACGATCGGGTCAGTTGATTCCTCAGCGAGCGGGCGGACCAAGCACCGTCGTTCTCTCCGAGCGAACTGTGCTTCTCTGACGTGAGTGTGCAACTTCCATCTTGCGCATACGGCGACCATCATGCGATGTTTCCGAATCGGCACTCGGTCCCGGTTCGCCACATTGAACGCGCGTTACCGTCGTCGGACCGAGAGCTCGCGTGGATCCTTCGATTTGCGCTCGTGGCTAACCTTCCGGACGTTTGCGGATAGTCGGGAGTGCTTCAGGGGTCGGGGGGAAAACCGAGTTGAATTTCTTTTGGGAACCTATGAACGGGTTCGGATCCTATCCGGGTAATCGCTGAGTTCTGCTTTTTCTGCTCATTCTCTGCGACCCGTGAACGCACTCTAGGACTCAAGGTGTGCCACCGTATTGAGTTGCCGGTTATGGTTTCGGTTTTCGTTCGGTGGCTAGAGAGGACGAAGGAATCGAGTGACTCGCGGATCGGATCGTTCTCCTCTTTTCAAAAGGGCTCCCCCGAACCCCGGAGGGGTTGCAGACCGAGTTTTCTCGAAGTTCTCGTGGGAAGGTCCCATTATTATCAGATGATTCGGTAGGAACCGAGCATCTCAGACGCTCCTTGATGCCCGGGGACTTTTGTTCGACATCGATTATTCTTCCCGCTCCTGATGTCAAGGCCAATCATTTTATGAACATGAAATCGTTCGCGACTAGAGCAATCACGGGAGCCGTCGCATTCCACTATGACTTCAGAGTGCGGCGGAACGCTCGGATCACCGTATCCCGAGCTTTTCTTGTGATTCGTCCTAAAGCAGACGTCCCTATGGGAAATTGAATTTCTCAGCTCCAGAATGCGAAGATGATTCCGCGTCGTGATAGGAGTTATAAAGCCACCCAACAATTTTCCTATCCTTTTGGAGGGTTGAGATTGCGGGATTCTTCGCGGGATCTCCATTTAGGGTCGTCTATTTATTTTCATCATACATAATTTTGACCGTTAGGGTGAAGTCCGCAAGGAGGCTATGGGGGGAATGGACGACCGGATACGGAAAACTACATGGCTAGGACCCATGTCCCATAAGTGTTGCCTCTTTGCCATGTAATGGTTAATTCTACAGCGGGAATCCTAGAACTGGATCAACACGGCATGAGGAAGCGGATTGATGGGCTGAAAATGGATAACGTTCGATTTCGTTCTTTGCAGCCAGCACGAAACACCGACTTGCTTTGCTGTACCTCTGCAATGATGTTTTGCAAAGGTGCAGGAAGCAGGGACGACCCCAGTTCTTGGAAGCCTTCAAAAAAGTCTTGCAAGAAGCTGGTGTTCTGCTCGACCAAAAAGAGATCCGGAAGCAAGTGGATAGAGTTTTCAGCATTTGGAAGCAGCGGAAGGTTTATGACGAAGCCTTCATTCAGAGGATCCAGAGCGCTGAAAGTAAGTTCTCGCTCGAGGCGTGTTCCTTTTAGTAGACCCTCAGATTCAAGATGAACCCGGTTTTCGTGGGCCCCGAAAAAGCGATTGAGATAACCGAGGACTTCTTTCTCTCTCTCAAAATCTTCTCTCATTGCAGGAAAAGTGATGAAGAGTCCTTCACCGCCTCCTGCCTTGACACCACCTCGACCTCAGGCTTCTCCCGATGAGGAGTTGATCGACTTCGAGCCCACGGGACTCGTTGAACAGGTAAAGAAACGATTCCCCGTGTGTGCTTCGCTCAAGGTCGCCGATGACCTTCCCTTCAATTGGGGTGGATTTCCGGCGCTGAACCATCGCCCCGGTTCGCGGCCGCACACTTCCCTTGCGGAGGAAGTTCCGTTCGCTCGGCGGGATCGAACTCAATCTGATTCTTTCCATCCCATCAGGTCAAAAAAGTCCGCAAACTCCAATTAGATGTTGGTGCAAAAATGGGAGTCCTCTCATCAACGAAGCTGGACATCTCAAGAGCGGAAGTGCTGACCTCCTGTAAAGACAAGCAGCACTGTGAACAATTCGAGAAAGACTTCGACGAAGGGATTCGGTGTCTCGAAAGCTACGTCGCGTGAGTGTCCATTCCATCGAATACTCCACCAACGTATACTATCATAGATGGGATCCGCAGGAGTGATCGGGAGGCGTATATCAAGTGAATGAACGATTCCCTGGGCCGAGTATATCCTGCAGACTTCTGAAACTTCCTCAATTCATCCCCAGTGCGATTGAGACAAGTCTCCAAGAACACAAAGAACTCCAAACTCTCCTCACCGACGGAGAGAAATATTACGCTCATCAACTGGGGGACGTTCAGTTGGTTGCCAACGGTTTTAGAACTTTCGCGGGTCGGGTCGAAGAAGTGAAAACGGGTCTGGGTAGATTCAGGATACCTTCGCCCCCACCTCTCCCCGACGAGTGTCCATCACCAACGGACTCGGAGCTCGACGATATGATCATATCTCCTGAGGTCAGTGGAGTGACGTTTTTGCGCTTCCGAGAGGAGCTTTGTCGAGATTCACTCGGCACTTCAATTATTACTCCTGACGATCGATCTCTCTCTCCGCAGCGGAACGAAACTCGCACGATGTCGAAAGAAACGCGGATACCTTCCGAATCTTTCAATCCGAGTTCGGCTTCGTTCATGGATAGCGATCCGCATATCTTTAGTCAACTGAAGGATGTTCTCAGGAAGGACTCCCGGGTCAGTTCGGAAGTGTCAACGAAAACCGGAAGAGACGAGCCGTCTTCTACATGTGAGTTGTCTCTCCTACCCTGTCCTGGTGTTCGATCACAGCAGGCTCAAACGGAAAGTATCTGAAAGTGCCTCGATTTCTTGCAGTTTCCCCGAAGACATCCTTCCCTTCGACTCCTCTGGCTCCGCCACCGATGCCGACCGGGCTGTTGGCGCATTCTCCGATGCCTGCGTTCCTAGGTACAAATCAAGGTCATTACAAAAGACCGTCTTCTTCATCGTATCCAATAGCGAGACGCTTAGAGCGCTGAAAATAACCTCGCGACCCGCTTCAGAAGAAAGAGTGTGTGTCGTGTTCTTCGAGTCCGATCACTTCCTCCACTTAGTCAGTGTCTTTGTCCAATTTTCCTACCTGAACCTAGCTTTTGACCTAAGAAACAGAGAATGCTTCCTCTCTGACTATCTTCGAGACTCTGCATGGGACCGTGCGGAGGTCGTTAGATTACAATCCTTCCGAGACTCCGGTGACGAATTTGAAAACTCGCGTTTCTTCTCATCATCAGACTCTCTCGTCGCATGGAGAAGGCGGTAGTGGCGGCATTATTACTGCATCCTCTCAAGGGGGAATATTCATTATTTCGTGAAGTACGAACTTAGAACTCATCTGGACTGAGCTCTGGTACCATCATCGGTATCCGCCGATGAGGACGGAGTTTCTAGAGATACCTACTTTCTGACATGAGGGATTCTCCCGAATCCGCTCCCGGCGTCTACACTTCCTAGCATTTTTCCAAGAAATCAAGACACAGCTCTTGGAGTTCTCCACTTTCGTCCAGGGTAGCGACACTTCCGCCTAAAATTTCCTGGTACCGTGAGTAAGTCACATGACATCCTGCAAATCCTTGTGAGCCTCCTTGATTTCCTTGCTCGGTGATGAATTCACAGATCCTTCAGGAACATCCTCGAGTCTGATGGCTTCTCCCGACCGTGGGAATTCCGAATCTATCGGTTTAATTTTTCTTTCTAATTTTCACCCGAAAACTCGATGGTCCGCTCTCAAAATTAGTTTCGAAGTAGCGAACCGTTCAGCTCGGGAGAACATTCGATTGCGTGCAAGGGTTGATTCGGACAGCGATTCACGGCAGGAGTAGGGAGTCAGAGTAGATCTGTTAATGATAATATCGGTTCATCATCAAGTTCTAGCCTTAAGTTCGACCGATCGATGATCTGAACAGCTTCTTCGGGCCAAATCGCTGGCTCCTTGGAGAACCACGGGACAGTCGGGGGTTTCACTGAATAGAGTGTGAATAAACGGTGTTGAACGCAGACGGACACGGACACGTGCCTTTAGGGTTTAGAGCTCATGCAGAGATTTAACAGTGGAGTCCCACGGTGGTTAGGAATAAACTATCCGGTCCGGTCCGAATCTAAGAGTTCAAGGGCATCTGACCGAGAAGAGTCACAATGTGCGCGGGGAATCGATGGGGGAATGGCTGGCCCTCCGATGTGTTTCAATCAAAAGTGTTCGGTTCGCGTCTTCTCGTCCCGAATGATTCGTTGATGCTTTTGCACCCCCGGCGCGAGGGGCCGCGTAGACCAAGAGATTGATCCAGATCGCTCGGAATGGATTGCGTGCTAAAACCTTTGATATTGTCCACGACAGGTGTGAGACCTTTCGTTTCGCCTGGTCAACAAACCCCGAAAGAGGTCAACGTATCTCTCGCGCATCAGGTAAGATAAGTGTCCGTTGCACACGGAGATTTGATTTAGGAAAACTCGGTATCATCTTCTCAGAGCGTCATCTGCCATTGCTCAATCATGTGTCTCGGGGCGATGGCCGGCTCGGAATTTATAGCCCCGGTTTTCTGATCTCCCTTCCACACGATGCGGAGGCGGATATATTCCCGATAGTTCAAGGGAGAGCTCGAACCCGTTTCGGTCAGGCCACCCTCTCAATCTTCGTCCTCTTCTTCGTTCTATGATTGAGGCCTCAAACGAACCCTCGCCGTTTCTCTGAGCGTCGTGGAATGTCCTCACCGACCACGTCGCTATTGCAGGACGAAATCAAAGAGGTCGACATGGAAATCGAAGATGACGATGAAACGATGCCGAATCTGGCCAAAGCATTGAGCGCCGCACGAACCTCCAATCTGATCGAGCTCACGTCCAGTCGAGACGTTGATCTCCGGATCAGACCCCCAAACGACCCGACAAGTCGGGTGACGTCTCTCCCCCATCTGGCGGACGAGGATGAGCGATTCCCACCCCGAGTCCCGTTCCCTCCGAGCAACGTAGACCGCCCATTCCTCCTCGGATGCCCGAACGACAGATTGGGTCTGCCGCCGGTGAGTTCGACTAAGACTCCGTTTTATCTCAAAAGTGAATCATTGCATGGCGGAGATTAGCAATCAGTGAGGGCCGATCGCGTCTGTGCAGCGAGACGTTCGGGAATAACGCGGAGCTCCCTCCTGCTTTCAGGCGGCGGGCGGAATGAGCTCATCGAGCTCCCCCATGCCCAAACCTTTGCTGAGTAATTCCACGGGCTTCAACGGAATTTCGACCCCCACGCTCAGCGTCGAAGAGCTTCTGAAAAAGATCGTTCCCTCGATCAATCGTTCGAACTTGACAACAATTGTACAGAACAAAGGTCAGTGAGTCCTCGAATTATTTCGGAATCGCGTGGCTTAGATCTCGGAGCTCGATGCTCTTCCGAAGGGATCTGACAACGAGGCTCCTTCATCTAATTCGCAATTTTACTCGGCAGAAAAACCCGAAAACGATATAGTCGATCCAGACGCCTACGATCCCGAAGACAACTTCGTAATGGATGTACCTCGAGTTGTGTACTCTCCACCGAAAGCATCTTCAAACATCGTCGAAGTTCCCACGTCCGACAAGCCATCTACCGAAGAAGCTTTACAGACAACGTACGTACCATGAGTTTAAAGCGCTTCACTTCTATTGGTTTGTGTGAACTCGATTTCCCCCTCACGCGGAGCTTGATTGAATCCTCTGCTCCTGCATACGCGAGCCTATACTCTCGGCGTCTCGAAATTCTCGAGAGAATACGAAAATATGAATCGTCTCCTGTCGAATGAAGGAAGATTTCCGCAGAGAATTCCGAAAAGCAAAATCTTGCCGTAAGAAAAGGTGTAGGTAGAAAATACTCGGAAGAGCTCGAGTCCCCGTGCAGAGCCCCAGTCCGGAATTTGAAGATTTTTTTGACGTACTGAATTCCAACCATCCGGAGACGCGGGTACAAATCCGTGATCTTGGGCGCTCGTTCTTGGCATTCGTAGGAGCCACTCGCCTTCTGAGCGCTCTGGCGTCGCATCGTGGACTACCAGCCTAGATCTAATGCATCGAGACGTCGCCTCCGTGGGCATTGATATCGAGCCTCGAATTCACCGACTCCTCGGGAGAGTCTGGATCAATGATGGTAACACATCTTGTCCCGTATGCGGGCGAGCATCCACGCGGTCCTCCTTGGTGGACGCTCGCTGACGTTGGCAATGATGGCACGACAGCGTCTCTGACCACGGTCAACCATATATTAAACCGACTCACGAATCAAGGAGCCTGCCGGAATCTCCAGAGGTCCAGAAAAAAACATGAACGAACCTTGGACCCGAATTCGAGAGCAAGTTCGACGCTGTCCGTCCCAACCTTCGCGGCATAATTGCGATTCTCAAGAAGATCGTCGGGAACTCAGTTCGAGACACATCAATCTTCAGACAAATAGGTACACCGCTCGGGAGTCGTCCTCATAACTGCCGGAACCATCGGGATCCGCCGCTGAAGAATATCCAAAACTGTGAATAAAGTTTATGTCCAAAATCATTGTGTATGAATGAGTTGCATCAGCGCATGCAAATCCGAATGAATGAATCAATCAATCAAGGATTTGATGAATGGAGCGACGGCTGGGGGACTTGGAGACTTGTGTTATAGAAAAATCAATCCATGCGAGTCTCGATAGCTGCGTTTCTCTTTGGTTTGCTTGCGACGATGGCGATTAGATTCTAAAATGATTCCTTTGAATGAACGACGGGAAGGAACACGGTTGGAGATATTTCGCCCTGAACTCATTTTGGATGATCTTATGAATTTTTAGTGTTTTTAGTTTTTAAGAAGTATATCTTTTTTGAAGTTTGATTCTGTGAATCTGCGATGAGCCAAGTTGACAAACCAGTATCCTCGTGCTCGTATGGTTGCTCTGCATTGATGGGGGTCGAATCTCGAACACTCTTCTTCATGGTACCCTAGTCACTGAAAGACCGTTTTCTCCCCTGCAGGTCAAAAAGTGAAATCTCATCTCCGGATGGACCCATTTCGCCGTCGCCTACCCGTGTCGCGCAGACACCCTCGCGGCTGCTGCTACTGAAAAAACAGTCCAATGATCTCTCGTATCTCAGCGATCCGCGTCCATCGAGTAGTCCGAATAACCAAAAAATTCTTGTCGAGTACGCGCATCGCAGACGCTTGTTGTCGAGTCCCGCAGCCGGGAACGCCCCAGCCCCAGACAGGAAGGCGACGACTCATCAAGAGAATTTCCGACCGATCCAACGCACTCCGAGCTCCGAGTCGAACCACAAAGCTCCTGATCCGCAACGTGATGAGCGTCGACTGTACGAGCGACGTTCTTCTTCAGACCAAAGAAACTTCCACTCGCGACCACCTCGCTCCGACGCGGAGCGGAGATCGGCACCGGCCTTCGGATCGTCGTCGCGAGGAGGGTCGCGAGGACGCGGAGGAGAAGCAAATTCTCAGCAGGCCCGTCGAAGTGGGCCCCCGCGCCATCAGGCCGCGGGCAAAGGATGGGGTGCTAGTCTCGAAGGTGACGACAGGGTTTTCGGATATCAACACGATAAAATCGATTATTTGAGCTTGCCCAGACCCGTGAAAAAGGCTCCTGTGAAGATTCCCCGAGAGGTACGATTGGAGAGAGGTCAATTGAAAGCGGATGGCAGTCCACTCAAACAGCTCGCCGCGACATTGAAGGACACCAACGACGGCGGGCGACTGCCGGCTTCTCAGGAAGTGCACGAACAGACGTCGGCGAAGCCGCGAGCTGAACGGGGGGTCGACGCCAGAGCTGGCGTCCAACGTGCGGCCAGTCGAAGCTTGAGTGACGGGAGCCAAGATCGTGCGGACGTTGAATCGGGATCGGGGATCGACAAGCTCGTCGGTGCTTTTGGGAACGCTAGTAGAGTCGACGAAGGATGCTTCGAGCAAGATGGGCTTGTTGAAGGGAATGGTGAAATAATCACTCAAGACACGATTGAACAAAACGTCGTGTCTGTTGAGATAAGTGAACTCGAGGAAGGAGGACCTGCCGACGATCCCATGTTGGGCCAGTACTTCGACACATCGAGCTCATTTATCGTTAACGACATCTGTGAAGGAGAAGAAACGCCTTTACCCATCATCGAAATCGGCGAGACCGACACTGATCTGTGGACCGATGCAACCATCCTCGACATAGATGACGGGTGAGTCTTGAGGACCTCGTCCTCCCACACACCGCATGTTCTCTATTTTTTTCGAATGAAAGCCGTGTGGAAGGGTTGAGGCATCGCGACGCTTCCCAGAAATTCCTTAGGAGGTGGTAGGTGCCGGCTCGGGTCTGCATTGGAGTCGAATAGGACTTAATTCCAATATGGTTGCTCGATCCTATACCATAGTGCTGGAAACACATCATCTGGGAGGGGGCTTTAGCCCCCTTAGCCCTGCCCTCGCCCCAGTCGGTACCTTATTACACTGAACACGCTTCCGTGGCGTCGATGGGTCTCGGTGACGACTCCAACGCTCGCCCGGATTGAGATTCCCGGGCCACTGGTTTTCCGTGAAGGGTTTCCCCCCCCCCCTAAAGGGCGATCTGAATGCCCGTGGAAGAATTCAATGACGGAATAGAGACTTCTCCTGACCCTGCATGCCGTGCGTGGCTTCTGCGAAAAGTCATCCGTGGTGCACTCGATGGACGGATTGAGCAAGCGTGCCCGAGATAAGGCCGCTCGTAGGCTGATTTTCGGATGTGGACTCGTCTATCCCCGTCATAGCGACATACGAAGCTCATTCACGAATCACTACTTGAGGTCTGCGCTGCAACTGTCGCCGTGTTCCCATCGGCAGGAATGAACTATGAATCGACTGCTGAAGTTCGTACTTTTACGTAGACGATAATTATTCGCCCGCCTGGTATTCCCGAAATGGCGACATCATGTCCGAGACCCAGTTTGAACGTAAGAAGCCCTCGACAGGTAGATGTTCTCTATGAAGTTCGATGAAACGAGTAGGCCACCGGCGGAGCGAATAGTCTTATTGTGCCAGTTCCCTGATGTATAATAGCCGGACGGTTTATGAAAGGGCGCATGTGACGAATCAGCGCGTGCAGACCGAGCGGTCGCCCAGACGATCGTCGCCGGAACGGAGTCCCCGATTAATTTCTTTCTTTAAGATTCACGAGACAGATCGCTCAAATCTCTTCTTTTTTCTCTCTCCAGATACGGCGGGAACGAAGACAGCAAATCCATCGCGAGTCTTCTTGAGGAACCCTCCGTGAAAAACGTGCCGCGAAAGGCCGCGTCGAGCGGTCTGCGAGGAGCGGTGGTCGCAACATCCGTAGGATCACGACGGTCTTCCTGTCGAGACCAGGGAGCGTTTGATGAATTCTTCTGATCTCGTTCACCTTGATTACCGAGTCTGAATGCTTGAACTCTAGCTTCACGGTGTCCTAGAGCTAGAACCCGCTGTTTACGCCAAGGCATCAACTCATGCATCGAAAAACATCGTTAGCGGAATTTATCATATTCGCCTGACACATGAATGCAGACCCCATACGCTGTATATTCAACATACAAGTGCACATCCCGTCTGAGGCGGTTCCGATGGACAAACCCGTCATTGAGACCCAATAGGATGGACTCGGATCTTTCATTCGTTTTTTTTTCGCCGGAAAATCTCTCTCCTATGCAAGAGTCGTCTTGATTGAAATCGTTATGACTGACGAAACTCTCTTCCTCATCATTCTCTTTCGTGCATTATCTTGCCTTGTGGACGACATTAAGTGCCGTAATATATGCAAGAGTACTCTGTACACTAGCCAGGCGAAGCCGAATCGGTCATCCGCTGCATTTGTTAAGCTTCCAGACAGCAGCTTTGGCGTAGACAATAATTACTTTACGACAAGTGTATCCGGAAGGGAGTCCCAGTCTAGAAACAGCGCAATGCTCTGTAAATTTGTTCACTGATTAGCTTGAATCAACTGTTACGCACTTGAAGTCCCCATTGGTCCGCGAAGCCGCTTGAGGACGGTCGAAAATATGTTCGGGTAGTTGTTACCACTAGAATAAATACTATTCCTGGGGGGGTGAACGCGCGAAGGGGTGGATTATTGTTTTGAAATGTCTTTTCCTCCGGGTATCATCATCGAATGTCATTGGATATATTGAATATCCATCTGTTCTGAACGAACGAATTGGGAGACTCGAATTAGATTGCAGCTGAAGTTTTGTGAAAGCCTTGAGTATTGTTCGCAGAATTTAGGGATGCTATTCAAAACTGTCGAGTGAGGAGGATAAATTATCGCTGTTATATATATATTTATAATTGAATGGGATAACCCATATATATATATAAACATATATATTGGGGGCGTTGGTTCGATGCCGGGACGCGCATCGTGTGAATACTTTTGGTAGAAAGACAAGATATTGGGACAGCTGGAACAGTGAATAAAATTCTCGAAAGTCTGCTCCGAGAAGTGCGATGATGGCCTTTCTTGGATGAGGGTCGGGCCGAAGCGGAATAGCAAGTATAGCGGGAGAAATGCCGGGAGAGGGGCGCGGCTTTGGAATTCGAAGGGTCAGGACTTCTCGGGAATCTTTCACGGTCCTCGACCTTGCGTGAGGGATCAGTTCGAGGTGGTAGGGAGTGTCTCCCCAATGATAACGCACGTACGAGCTCTGGACATGGAATCGAGCTAGAATTGAGAATGATACAGAACACAACGGCTAATGGAGGGAGGTGAGGTGCTCCGTCTGCGAGGGTCAAAGAACTTTTGAGGCTTGAAGGTCACTTCAATATAGTAATTGAACCTGTTGCGATTGCTTGAAATGTCCAGATGTCGGTGACCTGGCCCCCTAAGTGGATGCCTCCGGGATTCTTATCATGGGGGCTCTTCTTTGGTTCCTCGATTCACGCAGACGGTTGATCGGCAGGCGAATCAAAAATTGATGGCATCTAGGTCTCTCAAAGGAACGATGTGACGGGCTAATCTTCGCGAACAATGCGATGATTCCTCTGCGAAACTCATCATCAGATTTATATGAAAGGCGTTCATATGTAAAACACAGATACTCCCGATCCTCGATTCGAGGGGAATTTAATTCCGGAGAAACCGGAAATCAATTGAATCAGATCCTTGACCGACGATTCTCCTCACTCGAATCTGACAGCGATGTAGAAAGAATCATTCGCGGAGGAGATGCCTCGGACACGGGAGGATTCGTGAGCAAAATACGGCTCTCCGCTTTCATAGCTTACTCACGTGGTATTTCAAGGCTATACCTGCTAAGCTACTTACACCGGTTTCTCTTGCCAAGCGTCTTGGCGGGAGAGCTTTTGGAGATCGAGAGACTCTCGGGGGGTGGAACTTCTGAAAGCGGACACCTGAACGCTCGCAGACTCCAGCCATGAAGCCAGTGCTGAAGTAAAAAGCTCACACGAACTAGCGTGCGGGACATTTCTGGGATCGGCGATACGATTCTTCTCCCTACTGAAGTCGAAGATCCTGAGGTGGAGCCGTCACGTGACTTCAACTCTCTTCGCTCATAGTTGGAATCATTGGGTCTGCTCCCCGATTTGTGCCCGAGCTCGGAGGTCGAGCTCGAGGATAAAGCCCCGGAGGAGGCCATGCGGGAGGTTTTTCTCAATGATTTCTACGCGGAATCTTCCTCCGCGGCAGCGCTCACCGATATATGTATGTCAGCCACCTCCTCCCTCTCGGAGCTTAGTATTCATAGTCTTAATCAATGAGGTCTTTGTCCGGAATAAGTCACGAATCGTGAGAACGTAGGTAGCGTCCATGTACAACCAATAAATGAGAGTCTCTCCGGTCTCCGTTGCTCTCGCAGGGCTTTCCCCTCCCCCTCCCCGACGGCGTCGGTAGAGTTGACGCCGGGAATCCCGACTGAGCGTGCCATCTATTGCGCCATTCGCCACAGCCGGGGCAAACGATGCTCGAGCTTTGTCGGCTCCTAGATTCATGGAGCTAATTTTTAACTTCAAGCGCTCAACTCCCCGAATTTATGAGCTGGAGGTGAATTGGATGAGGGGGATAAGTTCAGCGACGTTGTCATCGGGAAACGGGTCCGCGGCTGTCTCCGGGCGAAGCTGGAGAGAGGCGCAGCTGAGGGGCTCGATGGAACTTTCTCAGGGATCATTCTCTTGTTTTACCCATGAGATGGATCGGACCGCATTCCTTTCGGTATCAATATGCCGTCGGAATGTATCTGGCGTGGCAGGTCCTATGGGTCAACTCACCAAGCTTGGAACGCAGGTAAATCCGTCTCGACGTCCTCATGCCTCCGAGGTCCCCGTGCTGTCAGCTGGTGAGGCGCTCGGGCTTCGCAATGTGATGCAGGTCAGATTGAGTGAGATGGCAAAATGTCGATGGAGTCCTAGATCCGCAACCCTGTCATTTAGCCGGCTTATGTAATAAAATTCTCACTCGTCAGAGGGATTCCCCCCTCTCATCGATTTGAGCCAAAATCGCTCGTCGTCAAATGTACACGAGTGGTTTCGTCTTAAAATCGGTTTTATGACATTGTATGGAGATAATACATTTTTGGAAGACGAGGCGCGAACGAGGATTGAAATTCCCGCCTTGCTTCACAGATGGGATTGGCTCCAAACGGGCAACTTCACGGTGGATTACGCGATTCATCTGATGTCCAACATGTACTGCACCGACAAAAATGCGCTGGGAGGATTGCACGTATTGCGCTCAGCCAGAGGCCCTAACAGGTCTCCAGAAAGTGACTTGGCGGCATTCGGTCTTTTCTTCTTGGAAACATTAATTCCCTTTATCAAGAACCGATCTCTGTGCCGTCGCCTAAAGCGCTCGGTGCGAGAGCACGATTTTGCATCAGAAACAAACTCAGGAATGGGAAGGCTGGATGCAGTTGGTCGTTCTCATCCACCACATGACCGGCGCACCATGGTCCTGCCACCGGGGCTTACGGCAGCGCGCGCTGAGCAGAACCCGATACAGTACATGTAAATGTTGCTTGAGTTCGTCGCTCTGTTCTCGGCGATAACGCTCCTGTATGTGGAGCATGTCCTCTTCGAGGAAATCTTATTCATGCCACCCTGGAAAGCTCTGTTTGACATCTCAGCGTCCGAGAACATCATCGATTCGGTGCCCGAGAACGTCGTGCGGTCCCGACTGTTGATTCTCTTCATGACCACTGCGTCGAAGATCAGCTCCATGATTTCGACGACGCTCGCTTTCTATTGCGGCGGGAAGCCTGACTGCAACGAGGTCCATCCCTACATTTCTTGGCTGCCGATTCTTGCCTACGTCACGCTCCGGAACCTTTACGGTCAGATTCGAGCCAAGTTCAGCGCTTTTTCTGCCTGGTTCGAGGAGCTTTCCCTAGAGCTATTCGTAGTATGTCGATACCGCGTGCGGCTCAGTGCCGGGACCCACGGAGTGCTGGTTCTCATTCCGAAGTACCCGGTACTGAATGTGTGCATCACTTCGTTGCCACAAAGTCTCAGGAACATTGTTCTCGACCCCCTCTCTCTTGGTCATTCGTTATTTCCTTCCGTCAAATCCGTGGAGCATCACAGGTACCTTGGAGAGCTCGGGGCAAGGAGCCTGCGAGAACAGATCCCAACGTCGAGAAAAACTTTCCCTCTCATGCCTGTATGTATCATATATCTGGGCGTTCATATCACGCCCTGACGGTCCTCCGGATCAAACCCGAGCGGCATGATCCACGCCAGCTGGAACTCGAAGTCTGGCGGATATCTCGACGTACGAGCTACCTCACAGAATCAGACGGATACGGAGCTGAATTTCCATTTTTACCACTGGCGAGATTAATTATTCCACTACGGCTCCGCCTGATTTCCTCCGGAATCGAATACGACGGAGTGGGTAACTACTCTGATAAACTCTCCCAAAGGCCCAAAGGATCCTATGCCCGTATGATTGTACCCGCCCGACTGGACGTCGATTTCGGTCAGAATGAACACATACAATGCAAGCACTTACGCCGAAGACTCGCCACAACTATTCAGATTCGTTCTCTCGCTAGTTCCTTTTAAGATTCCCTCGTCCTATTAAATTGGCTCGGTGCCCGAGCGAAGCAGTGATTCCCAGGCCGGATCGAGCGAACGTGGTTTCGCTCAGTCGCAGGTCGCAGCTCACAGCTTGAATTTCACAGTAGCCGATCGATAATAGTCGTCTGAACCAGCAGTGATCATATTAGAAACGTCAGAACTAACACTCAATCGAAAGCCCACTGATCGATTCGCTGGGCCAAGTTCTCAATCGATGAAACTTGAAGATCATTTCAACCTATGAACAGTGCAGGATCACTTCTGCTCGAAGAAGCTTGCGGATAGAAATTTAAAATGGGCCGGTTCTCTTGTCATGGTGTTCTTTCAAG